GGTCTCTCGAATTCCGCCCTCCTCAATCACATCAGCACCGATGTTTCTCGGATCGACGCCGCAGCGCAGTGGTTCCACGCTGCATGGACCGCCCCGATCCAAGTCTCCGTCTGCCTCATCATCCTCTGTGTACAACTCGGCGCCCCGGCTCTAGCTGGCTTTGCTCTCTTCATCGTTGTCGCCCCGCTACAACAACGGATTATGCTGGGCCAGTTTCAAATGCGTCAAGCCAGCATGAAGTTCACCGATGCCCGCGCGCGGACGATCCTCGAAGTGCTCTCCTCCATGCGCGTCGTCAAGTACTTTTGCTACGAAGGATCCTTCCTCTCGAGACTTGCGACGATTCGAATGGCGGAGCTCAAGAAAGTCGTTAGGATCCAGAATTCCCAGTCTGCCAACTTTGCGTTGGCGTTTTCGCTCCCGGTTCTTGCTGCGACGCTCGGATTCGTGACGTATACGAAGACGAAGGCCGGGTTCGATGTGGCGGTTGTGTTTTCCAGTTTTGCTTTATTCAATGTGCGTCCTTGTCTTCCCTTCAGAGTCGAGTCGAGTTGACGCCTACACGCAGCTACTCCGTCAACCAATGATGTTCCTCCCACGTGCCCTCTCTGCCATCGCCGACTCGCGGAGCGCTCTGGGCCGTCTCGAGAAAGTGTATCACGCGCCGATCCGGCCGGAGGGCGAGGCGTTTGATATCGATGTGGACATGGTTGACGCGGTGGAGGTGAAGGGTGCGAGTTGGGAGTGGGAGACGGTGGCGAGTGACGTCGAGGATGACAAGGGTGGGAAGAAGAAGGGTAGCAGCAAGTCGAGGGAGGCGGATCTGGAGAAGGAGAAAGAGAAGGAGTTGGAGAAGGAGGTTGACGCGAAACCGTTCTCCGTGCGCAACATCAGCTTCAGCATCCCCCGCGGGACACTAGCAGCTGTCGTGGGACGCGTGGGCTCGGGAAAGTCGTCTCTTTTACAAGGCTTGATTGGGGAGATGAGGTGTACGGAGGGTTCATGGAAGTTTGGTGGCAGGGTGGCGTATTGTCCGCAAACGGCGTGGATTCAAAATGCTACATTGGTGAGTTTCCCTCGATCGCTGCGCCGCGTGGAGGTGCTGATGAAATGAAAATGAAGCGCGACAACGTGTTGTTCGGCCAGCCGTTCGAGGAGGATAGGTATTGGCGTGTCGTGGAAGATGCGTGTTTGTTGCCCGATTTGCAGCTGTTGGCGGATGGGGATTTGACGGAGGTGAGTGGCTTGTGTCTTGTTTGCTTGGCGCAGCTGACGTTCGCTTAGATGTATGTTTTTAATTCTATTCGTGTCGCGCACTAACTGGACTCGATTAGCGGAGAGAAGGGAATCAACTTATCGGGTGGTCAGAAACAGCGCGTAAATTTCTCCCTTAAACCACCATCCTCGTTGCGCTGACCGAGGAGCCTAGGTTAACATCGCCCGTGCGCTGTATTACGGAGCTGATGTTGTCATCTTTGACGATCCGCTCTCTGCTGTAGACGCCAACGTTGGTAAACGTGCGTATCTCTCTCTTCCCTTGATTTGCATGCTCACGATCAATCAGAGCTCTTCCACACCGCGATCCAAGGCCTCATCGCTCAACACAAGACGGTGATCCTCGTCACACACGCACTGCACTTCCTCTCGCAGTGTGACTATATCTATACCATGGAAGGCGGGAGGATAGCTGAGGCGGGGACGTATGTTGACCTCGTCAAGCGGGATGGCGAGTTTGCGAGGTTGGATCGCGAGTTTGGCGGTGCTCAGGCGCAGGCGAACCGGCATGATGACGACGAGGAAGAGGAGGATGCACAGGTGCAGGTGGTGAGTGTGGCGGATGCTATGGTGCGTGCTGCTGCTGCCGGGGCTGCTGGGACGGGGAAGCTTGAGGGCAAGTTGATTGTCAAGGAGACGAGGACGACGGGTGGGATTGCTTGGTCAGGCGCGTGTTTTCTTGTACTTCTTTCTGCTTCGTCTCCTCCGGCTGAGACGTGTTCTAGTGTATGGATATTATCTCAAGGCCGGCGGCGGGTGGTTGACTGTACCTGCGGTCATATTGGCGACGCTGCTGATGCAGGGGAGTGCTGCGGCCAACTCTTATACGTTGGTATGGTGGGAAAACAAGTGCGTTCGCTTGGTCATTTTCTTTTGATAGGTGCTTGAGCTGACCTTTGCTTTGCCTAGCACGTTTGACAAGTCCTTCACGTTCTACCAAGTGATGTACGCGTTGCTCGGCATCTCGCAGGCGGCTTTCACTTTCCTCATGTGCGTGCATTTCTTTCCAGTTTTGGGGGTTGACTGACCTGGTAGTCAAGGGGCGTACTCATGGATTATTTCGCCAAGAGTGTTTCGCGAAATCTGCATCAAAAGGCTCTGTTGAATGTATTTCATGCGCCAATGTCATTCTTCGATACGACGGTATGGTATCACGTTCGGCCGTTTGGTTCATGATGCTAACTGAACACGAAGCCGATGGGTCGGATTATCAGTATCGTGAGTCTGCTCGGTTATTTTAAGCATGCAATAACGACTTGCTGTAGTTTGGGAAGGACATCGATAGTAAGCCCTTCCGGGTCCCGTTTGATGTCCTTACTGAATGAATCTCGTGTAGCAATCGACAACCAACTTCCAAGTAAAGGATGCGTTATTTGTCCCTGGTTGTTTACTGACTTGTTTCACGCCTGCAGTGTCTATGCGCATGTGCATCCTCATCTTCGCCTCCGTCATTGGTTCGGTGATCGTCATCAGTGTCGTAGAGCACTACTTCCGTCTGCATCCTTTTCTTTGTTTCCTCGCCCCGGCTGACATGAATTTAGTCATCGCCGCAGCCGGCATTACCATTGGATTCGGGTACTTTGCCCAGTTTTATCGGACCAGTGCTATTGAGATGAAGCGTCTTGACGCGATGCTTCGTGGAGTGCTTTATGCTCATTTATCTGAATCCCTCACTGGTGTGTATCCCTCACGCTTCTCTCTGCTGCAGTTGACTGACCACAAACAGGACTTCCGACGATCCGCAGTTACGGCGAGATATCGCGGTTCATCGAGGACAACAAGTATTATATTGACTTGGAAAATCGGGCGCTCTTCTTGACTGTGACTAACCAACGGTGGCTTGCTGTTCGGCTTGATGCGCTTGGGGCAATTCTTGTGTTTTTGGTACGTGTGTCGGCTTATGTTTGAGGCAGTGTTGACTGGTGTAGATTGCCATCCTTTCTGCGGTCGGTATCAAGGGCGTCAGCGCTGCTGAGATTGGGTTGATCCTGACTTACATCAGTGCGTGTGGCCTTTCAGGCAGAGTCCAGGGCTGACGTTCGCGCTATAGCCCAATTGACTCAGTTGTTCTCGGTCATTACGAGACTGAGTGCTGAGGTAGAGGTGCGTGGAAAGTCTCGCTCAACCCCTCGTCGATCTAACGTGTCTTCAGAATTACATGAACTCTGTTGAACGAGGTATGATTTCCGTCGATTCAATTGCACGCTTACCCAGCGAATCGCAGTCGTCCATTACGCTCGGGGTGACGCCGTACCGCAGGAAGCCGCTCACGAGAGTACTCCGGAGAATAAACCCGGTGCTGACTGGCCTACTCACGGGGCCATTGAATTCAAAGACGTCACGATGGCGTACCGGCCGGGATTGCCTAATGTCCTGCATGGGATATCGCTCAACATCAAGGCCGGCGAAAAGATTGGCGTGGTTGGACGCACAGGCGCGGGGAAGTCTTCTTTGACGTTGTGTCTTTTGAGGATCGTCGAGTACCAGGGGAAGATCGCTGTCGATGAGTATGTGCTTCTTTTTGACTTGTTTTTTATTCTAACCCGGTCAAAGCGTCGACATTGGGAAGATTGGGTTGACGGATCTTCGTTCCAACATTGCGATCATTCCCCAAGATGTGAGTGCGTTCATAGTCCAGGCGAACAACTGATTGACGTCCCTAGCCAACGCTATTCAGCGGCACCGTCCGGACTGCACTTGACCCCTTCTCGAAATACGACGATGCGCGATTGTGGGATGCGCTTCGTCGTTCGTCTTTGGTTGGAACTCGTCCGTCCACACCCGCGGGAATCGCCGAGGCTGAAGGGTCCGCCGGGCACGGCAACCACAAACTAGGCTTGGAAACCGTCCTCGAGGCCGATGGGGCTAATCTCAGCGTCGGGGAACGCAGCTTACTTAGCCTGGCTCGTGCTTTGGTCAAGGATTCCCGGGTTGTGATTCTGGATGAGGCGACGTGAGTCGTGTTGTTCTCCACTTTGACTGTACTTGACACGATACAGGGCGTCCGTCGATTTGGAGACGGACAATAAGATCCAGCGCACGATTCAGACGCAGTTCAGGGATCATACTCTCATTTGCATCGCACGTGCGTTGCTTTGCTCCAATCCAAGGGCCTCCCTTATAACCGTCTGCAGATCGTTTGCGTACTATTATCTCGTATGATCGCATCCTGGGTGAGTGTTTCTGCTGGTCCCGTGTGAATTCAGGCCTGACTACCCGTCTAACATAGTTCTCGATGCTGGGAGAATAGCTGTGAGTCCAACCTGTCGCGTTTCAGATACCAGGGGCTGATTTGTTTGCAGGAATTCGACACCCCGACTAATTTGTTCAACAAGGAAGCGAGTCTCTTCAGGAGCCTTTGCGAGAAGAGTCACATCACGCTGAGCGATATAGAGAAGGCGATCTTACAGGATGAGGAGGAGGACGATTGATATGTACTGACGATTACGGCTGCTATATTTGACTTAGACTAGCACTCTCTATGGATGACGCATTGTTGCCGTGTGCTGCCCCGTTTCCGAATTCAAAAATTTGTTGTGGAGCCTCACCTCATATTGAATCAGTCCCGAATCGAACGGAGAGGACTATGGCGATCATTTGATTCGTAAACCGCATGGAGTGACAGTTTTAGGTCTCACTCGTGGTTCAATAACAGAATTCTGCAGAACAGAACGCCCGTCTTTTGGAATTTCAGCCATGAAGATAATCTGAATAGATATGAAGAGTGCCTCGTGGTCTAATGGTACGACATCGCCAGTCGTAAGTAGTTGGAGGCCAGGCGAAGATTGCATGGTTCGATTCCTGCCGAGGCTTTCACTGCACTTTTTCGATTTCCCTGGAGTGCTTCTCATATCGTTCGGACCGTGCCGTGTAATATTTGTTACCTTTACCCACCACCATTGCATACTGTGCATCTCTATGATCCAGGCGCATTCAGTTTAGAGCTTTCATGTGGTGCGGTACAATTTCTGAATGGTGAACGTTGAATTTTGAGCACCAGTTGCAACGAAATGCAAATCTTCGCCGAGAATCGATCCATCAACGCCTCCCGGCCTATAAGAAATTATTTACTACCCGGGAGATGGTTATGGGTTCGAACCCTCGCGATCGTAGCTTTATTTCACTGGATGAGAACTTTCAACCGCCGAGCAAAATACTACTCAGGTGCTACGGTGACACGGTGATGCGCCTGTTCAGAAGGGTCTCCGTAGAATCTGCGTTTGAATTTACATAATCTAATGGCACGACCGCGAGGTCATCTATGGTACTTATACTCATGAAGAGTAGATTAGACGGTCGCGGCAAGAGCAGAGCCCTTGAAGAAGTTCGCCGTGATCTCAAGATGATCCCATGTTCCATCAACCAATTTTTTTCAATGCAAAAAGTAACTAATGCGCCCTCGAGGGCTCGACAACATCCCTACTACTACTCCGTAATCCAACACCATTCCGAAAGGTACACACACAGGACAAGTGAAGTACATGGGTTGCGAAAACTTGGAAGAGGTAACAATGTTGTGGTTCATCCCGAAGCTGTGGCATCCGGTTCAGATTCACATTCAGACACAGGGGAGAAGCAACAAACTCACAACCTCACTGTTGCGGAGCTGCTGGCACAGAGAATACCCTGTCCGAGAACTGGAAGGACGCAACACGCGGTCTGCTTGCCGACAGCGGCACAGTTCGCGGTGAAGCTCGCGGCGTTCGTCGGGGCTGGGTTGGGGGCCGCGCAGTCGAGGGCCGCGACGCCCAAGAGACCGAGGGCGCAGCACTGTGGGACGCCAGTGAGGCCCGCGCAGGGGTTGAACTGCCGCTCCTCGAGTATCCCCGCGGGAGAGGCACTGGTGAGCTGGGACATCGAGAAGAACGCGATGAGGACTGAGCCGAAAGCGGTGAACTGCATGTTTGCTGCTTGCTCTCAACTGCCTTTCCTGCCCGCTTTTATATGCGTCTCGAAGGAATTCAGGCTCCGCTCAACCGATTTGCAGCCCCTCGGACCTTGAGCGCATGTAGTCCGGTTTTAAGCGGAATGAACTCTAGGCTTGAGTGTGTGCTTCTGGATTCAGCTGCTATTATTTAATGGACTTGTTATGCTTCATCGGTTCGATTTTGGTTCGATTCACACCGTGACATCGGCATCGAGAGACCAACTGTCATGATCAAGGCTAACTTGGTCATTGCCGGCGATTCGCCCTGGACTAGCCTGGAGTCCAGAAGTCCCCTTTGCTCAATACAAGTCCTTGCCTGACGGAGAAGCCAATATGCTCCGGCTTTGTCGGGGATTTGTTAACACCGAATCGTCGTCGCTGAACTCGCAAAATTGTCCCAGAAACAGCAGCACAAACAGGGGCTCCGCATCCCCGAGAGTCAAGCTGCAAGAGTTGGTATGTGAATTTGGTGTGATTCCCGATCACGTTCCCTTGATACCCGCCTGGCCAGTGGCAGATGAAAGATGCAAGGGACGCGTCGGCGCCTCGCGAAACTCATGCCGGTCCTCGCACAGCCTAAAGGTCGGACCACGTCAGACGAAATGTTGTCCGTTGGTACTTCTTCTTCTCTTAGGGGAGGCCCGGGAGGGGCTTGGAAATACTAATGTTGCCTTGCGGATCCTACTAAGAAGCACAGCGCGACGTCGGCATCAGGGTGTGCGGTCGCTCGCATATGAAAGCTAACCAACGAGAGTGCGAATGCTTGGTCACGGTAACTTAGAGTGCGTGGATCCACGGACCCTCACTCTCGCCGACGCTGGGGCACACGGCACCGAAATCGTTCCGCTCCTGTTGGAAACTGACATCCCTAGGTCGGGGAGAGCCTGGCCATCGAAGTCGAACGTCGACCGCGCAACAGAGAGTGTCGCTATTGGTGAACGAAGTGCAGGGCACGTAATCCCACTTCTTCTCGAGGGGTGACGCTCCGGAGAGCAAGGCGGTGGAGAGGATGGCGATGAGAAGAGAAGCAAAGGCTTAGGCGGCGAACTACATTGTTGCTGGGTTTGTCGGAATAGGTCAGGTTGCTCGTAGAGAATTGGTTCTTGTGATATGTTGAATGATGGCGAAACTTCCGAGAAGTCGTCTTTGGACAGCTATTCAAGTACCTCCTTTGGCATTCAACGCAATTTCGTTCAGAGCCTGAATATCGAGCTCAATCGTCAACTCGTGCCCAAGCCCTGAACATCATTATGGGTGTAGCGCTGATGTCGGCACTCCGACGGCTTAGACCTCCGCGAGCATGGCAGATCGGAGTACGCCTTGGGCGGCTGGGCATGTTCTTTCTGCATGTTCTTTCTGGCATGAATTCCTGTGTGCCGAGCAAATTCCACCCAGCCGGATCCATCATGTTGTGCCGATCGGCTGACGCATCAAAACCGGAACAATATCAAAAAGTGTCACAGGCGTGACGATGACCATTCCTTTTTCTTCTTCACACAATGCCTCCTGTGGTACGGCAAGCAGAGTTCGGCGAGACCTTCGAACTCACATGCGGCGCACCTCTCCGCCTTGTCTTCGACCCCAAGTACCCATATCCGCGCACAGCGCCCAGCAAACCCGGGCCACGCATCCTCCCGATAACGACGGCCCCACAGGCTAGGACGACGAACAATACGGGCTGCGGGACGACCGTACACACTGGTGCTATGCCCATCCGCGAGAGGAGGGTCTGGTATGCGTCTGGGGAAGCCGTGAGCAGGGCGGTGGTGTTCCTCCCACCCGAGTATTTCACCGAGCGCCAGCAAATGGAATTGGATGCCTTACCAAGGATGGACGAGTGTGGGTGTATGACGGTGGGCGTTGGTTGTGGTATCTGGTGTGTCTACTTTCCATTTATCCCGAAGAACGAAGATTAACGTGGAACGAAGTGGCAACGCCTTGGGCTCCCTCACGACGCGCTGCGAGCGTCATTTCACTTCGGGGTCGCTGAAATATCCAACTGTGTACAACTTCCTCCCAGAGGCCGTCTCCCCGCCTCTCCCTCTCCCACCGCGTCTCAGGCGTGTCAAGATGTCCGATGACGCACCCACACCTGCACCCGCGCCGGAGCTTCCGTGTCCGACTGAAACCCCTGCACCTGCCTCAAACACAGAAACAAATACAATGGCCTCTCGCCGACGTATCGACTTCACCGCTATCTTCGCTCAGTGGGCCAACGAACCACGTGCGCCTTCCCCGACTCCCTCCCAGGCACAGGCCGACTACGAAGCGATGCGGGAGCAAGTGGCCTATGAGGCGGAGCAGGAGGAGGTGGAGCGACAGGCTGCCGTGGCCCGATTCAACCGCGCGCAGAAGGAGGGTGAGGACAAGGCGCCGACCACGCAAGAGGCTTTGAGAAAGAGGACGGCGGGCGTGGTCTGTGTTTACTCGCGTTTGAAGAGGAGGAAGGACGGGGTGAGTGATATTGAGCGGTGAGCTAGATGGTATGTGTCTTTGGATGACATATTTTATCGCTGATTTTCCCTAGTGCTAACACAGATTTTAATCGGGGCGTCTACTACTTACCTTTGTCTTTCTCGCTAATATACGCTTGGACCCATCCATCTCGATCCAGCACCAGTTGTTATGCGACTATCCTCGTCTCGGGACCTGCGCTTGGCTCTTAGCCCCTTGTTGTCCCTCCCAACTGTCGCCTTCGATTTGGACCTGCGACAATCTTGTTCGAACTTTCGAAGACGCAACTACTTACGCAAGCTACCTCAGTCTGGAACCCTAGACTCCCACCGCAAGCACTCCGTACAATTATCGTGGCCTTCAGCGCGTTGCGGATACTACTCACTTGGTACTTACCGGTATTCACGCCGTTCGATTCGGTGCCGGTCGTTGGCAGTTCCCACAACACTTTTTGCACCGGAAATTGCGCCACTGTGAACACGGACACGTTTAATTTGCCTCTCCGCATCTATCCGACTCATCGTCGTTACTCATCATTGCTCTCTCTTCAGTGCGTACTTGAGCCACGATTCGCAGTCGCTGCGCTCCGTTCGACTCGGGCTCGGTGGATACGTGCGCAGTTCGGACAAGATCTTTTTGACATTTTTGTCGCTATTGGAAGGTGTGCACGATTTAGCACTTTTGTCTCTCTCGCTGATATACGACTGGACTCATCCAATGATCCATCTTAATCCATCACCAGTCGTTGCAATGTGCGACTGTCCTCGCCGAGGTATATCTGCCTGGAACTGGAACCTGACTCGATGGCTCTCGATGGCCGGACCGGGATGCGCTCGATTCTCAGTCCCTTGTTCTCCCTCCCAACATCGCTGTCTCATTCGATTTGGACATGCGACGATCTGAGTCTAAGAAGCAAGTACATACTCAAATTCCACGTCGTTCCCTCAGAGGTCCGTTGACTTCTGCTTTACCTGCGCGCCTTCCTTGTTTATCGCGGCTTTCAGGGTGCGGATAGTAGTTGGTACCGGTTTTAACGCCGTTCGATTCGGCGCCGGTCGTGAGGAGCTTGCGACATGAATGCTTTTTACACCGGAAATTGCGCCACTGTGAAAACGGACACCTTTGATTTCCTCGTCGACTACATATCTTGTGGGGACGTGTTCGATCTTAGTGCCCACGGATGGCTTTGAATCCGTTCATTAGCCACGATTCGCTTTCGCAGCGCTCCATTCGACTCGGGCTGGGTAAATACGAAGGTGTGCAAGATGTCATTTCATTTTTCAGGTCAACATGGATACTTGCATCGGCCATTATGCGGTTCACAGAAGAGCGAAGACCCTCAGCGTGCGCAAGCCAGAGTTTGTTGCGTTCCCGCTCGATTCAGTTCTACGCTCTCGTCCAGGTCATTTTTGCCCCGTTGGTGGAGAGTGGT